GCTCCATCCAAATTGAATTACGGAGGTTACCGTGATTTCCCTTGAATTAATCCACTTAATTCATTTTGTTTAAAAAGATGGAAAGATTAAGGTAATGTATGCGATAGGTAGATACCAATACATCACCTGAATTGTGTCGTGTGTGACAGCCACTTGTTCAATGTCACGCACAATAAAACGTCACGCACCAGGCCAAGTGAATCAATCCGATCATCCTCAACTCTTCCGCATCTGTCTCGTTTATTTATTTCTTTATTTATTTATTTCAATACAATAAATGCACGAAAAGAATGATTTTGATAAAGTATTTAAAAATTGAGATAGATCCAGATTTAAAAATAATTTTATTGAATCGTCAAAATAATCACGTAAAAATCTCAAGCATTGCTGCAAGAAATTTTTACATTTTTAGTGACAGTTTGAACGTCCGACATAATTATTTTGATGGTCCAACAAAATTAGTGTCAGATTTGCATTCAGCTAAATTTTTAGACACTTCAACAAAACTGTCCTTTTCGTGTAAGCAAATAACGAATTGTAGTCTAATAATATTTTTGTGTGAATTTTACAATTTCCTGTTCAAGCAAACTGCGCGTCGATTACCTATTTGTTGATCTTGAAACACAATCCTACACTGTTAGATATCAAAGAAACAATATAGTAACCCAATTCCTTAAGTTAAAATAAAATAATATTTTATTATTTTTAACTTCCATGTGAATCAAAATGTAAATTAGTACATTTCTGTGATTGGTTTCTAAGTAAACAACGTCTCCATACAAATGCACTTATAAGTGAATAATAAACTAAATTTAGTTAAATTTAATATTTTTTCAAGTTAAATTGTTTAATTTCATTATTTTAGTTAAATTAACGATATATTGAATAGGTGATGGTGACATAGAGATGATTAAAAATAACTCAAATATTGGCTGTAATTTGACGTTATGAATTTAACAGTGCAATTTAAAGCTGGAGTACGTAATATCACAAATTAAATTGGGAAGCAATTTCATAATACTGATGCTGATGAGCATGTAAACCTTCAACAAGTTACGAAAACTATACTTAAGTTCTAAAGCCTTCTGTTTAAAGTGAATGCAAATGAATCTTACAGCGATTGATAGAGGAAGATTTTAAAGGATTTGTATCTACAACTTAGAATTCATAGTACCAATCGTTCGTGTTTTGTACAATTGTTCAAAACACACAACATTGTTTTACCAAGAAATATTACAACAATATTATTAATGGTCTTGAACATCATTATGATAGGGGATATCGTTGTGATATAGGAGACATGCTCAATAATGAAGAAATCCGGATCACCATCAATTCTATATCAATTCATTTAATATTAACTCAATCAGTAATAATGAAAATATTTGTTGGTACTGACAGTATTATTGACCATGTAAGATTCCTATTTATATAGAGCATTGAAAGAATTGAAGCATTGCAATGTTAAAATGTGAATATTCTTTAACGTTGAATTTGTATTAATTTTTCTACATTGATTGTTAATGTATAAAACACTGTAAAGAATTTATTGCGGAAAATATCACCCATTAAAATATCAGACTCAAAATATCAGCCAAGATTCGAACCTAGATCTTCGTCATTCCGTGATGGGCTTTTTACTATTGTTTGTTTATTTCTTTCTTGCGTACAATATTTTCATGTCTCGTCAGATGAGGAGGAGGATCCTTTATATAGTTCACAATCACGGTTACCTCATTCTCGAATCGCACACGCACGTGAGCATTTAGGCGGAGTAAAACAACGTGTTGCCGCACGCGTGATATATCTGATGACCGATCCAGCCTTTCTACAGTTCCACGCAGAACTGGCGGATGCCGGCCGTCGAAACATTTCCGTCGCATAATCGCTAGCCGCGATGTACGCAGGAATGTATAATACAATACATAGTCGGGATGCGCGACTCTCCAGGGACGGTTGTTGATATTACGAAGTATCTCATCGCGAAATATCACTTTATGCGGTTTTAATGTTTCAACATCTCGTCCATTTTGCGTATATTCCTACAGAAAAATATGCTACTGTTGTAAAAGTGATTACTCAGTTTAGTTTTTTTCTTTTAAGTTACGGTTTAACAAAGAATATTTTTTTTATATATAATTGTCTTAAAATATACTTATTACAAATTTTAGAAAAATTTATTATCGTATATTCGAAGAATTTATTCTGAAAATGTTAAATTTTACCGAAGAAGCGACTTTATATAATAAGCGAATGTGTTTTAATTTAATAAGTTAAATTATAGCAATTATAACAATTTTTTTCAATGTAAAATAAGATGATATCGTACGAAGAAACCCAAAACATTTTCTTCCTTTGGACGGATAATTGATTTCTTGGCTGTTCCGGACCAGCTCCGACAATTATTCTTAAAGTCGAAACGATAAAAATAAAAATGAAAAAGTTTGCCGACTTTACGGCTCTCGGATGACAATATAGTTCAAGTTCGTGGAAATCTTTTTCGGGTATTTGGCACTCTCTTGGGACTTCCAGACAGCGTCTGAAAAATTCCATCGAGAAATATTCAAATCGATCCCGATTAAAATGAAAAAGTTATCACTGATTTCTGCATAAAGAAAACCGCAAAGTTGACAGCTCATAAAAACTGTAATTATTATACTTGCTACTATTGCAATTGTAGTCACAAATACCATTTTTCTCTTAGTATATTATTATCTCTACTGTTTATGTTCTCTCTGATTATATATATTTTTTTATCTACTGCCCTTATCATTCCTTTCAGCTACAACGTGCATTAACTATGCGACACATCGTTGCTGGTCAACGCACGCGTGCCGATCGCCAGCCAAAGATATGGTTCCCTCCTGTGCTCCTCTCGGCCTCGCCGTGCGCTCACGTGTAACGTAATCGCCGATAATATACGCACCATCGCGCCTCTTTTACATGCCGCGAGACGCAACGTAGGATATAGCTTCGTCTGGTATTGGATTCTGCGGTGCCGGACTCTGCGGTGTTTGTCAGTCCGTTGGAAAATTTGTGCGGTGTTACGGAAAATTGTTTCACCAACTCACTCTCTCTCTCTCTCTCTCTCTCTCTCTCTCTCTCTCTCTCTCTCTCTCTCTCTCTCTCTCTCTCTCTCCCCTCCTTTCTCTCCGGTGATCGACACCGACGCGAAGCAAAGCAATGCAGCCAGATAGATCTCTCTCGTGGAAACAAACAGCAGCCCTGTTATCCGTTTTCGCGTAATTTTGCTGTTTACGTAACACAAGAATCAAGATTCTAGAATGCACACGAAAGAAAAATAGTTACAGAATGTTTACTCATTTCCGCTTTTTTAAATAAATAAATCAGTATACAGATAGATGGATAAATGAATTATTATTGATTATTTAGCGTTTTAGAATCAGATTTTCTTGAGTGTTAAAAAGCAATACACTCGGCAATACATAATTGAATAACAAAATAAAATTGAAAGCAAATACATAAAATAAAATTATAAAAATATAGATTAAAAAAAAATGAAATATAAAAATAGAAGAGATGAAAATTGAAAAAAAATATACATAGACTACATTTATCCTTCTCTCTCTTTTTCTAGTTTTGATCACTTAATCTTTGTAGATACACTGAGAGAACAATTTTTGATATTTGTAGCTACAAGTGTACAACTTTACAGAAAAATTGCAAGAGATAAAAATAATTTATTTTCTTCTCATAGAATTTTAAGAATTTTTTCAGAATTTTTTATCAACTTTTTAGTACTGCATTTTCTTATTTTTACCACCATGAGAAAATACAGTATTAAAAAATTCTTAAAAAATTCTCAGAACTTTATAAGAAGAAAATAAACAATTTTTATCTCTTGCTGTTTTTCTGTAAAGTTGATAATATTTGAATAAAAAATTATTGAAAACCAATAGCGATTTTTAGTAATTAATATCTCGTTAACCATTGCGAAAATTGCAAAATGATAGAGAACTTTTCACTCAGTTTAGTCCGTTCTTTGCTCAGGATGAATGATGTCGAAATTTAAAGACACCTTGCATATAAAATTACTACTTAAAAAATTTATAAGTAACTTTTTTACTTCATTTTCCGACTTTCTTGCTACAATATTTTAAGTCGCAAATTTTGGGGCATCCCATATAATTAAATGTTAGTATAATTACGTAATTATTTCTGTTATAATGTTAGTAATAACTATATGTATAATTCTTATTAAGAAATTTATACAGTTGGCAACCGAAAATGACAATAAATTATATTATAAATTATATTACTACACAAATTATTGCAATCACTATAGTGATTAATTTAATTATAAGTTATAGTAACCATTTTTAACTGTAACCATTTTTATGATAATATAATAATATTATAACTATAATTAATAATTAATAAATATCATTTTTTGTCGCTATTTTGCTAATTATATATATATATATATTTAATGATAAAACTATACATATACTATATGATTATTATCATTAACTTATACAGCAGTAATAACCATAATTATAATTATAAGTAATACACTTAATTACAAATATAAAAAATTTTTTCTCAGTGTAGATAGGCTATTCAGAGTACCCCAAAAAATTTTTACTTTAAATTGTAGTTATATTTTTTAAGTATATATAGAATTTACACATATATAGAATAACATTATTTTTATCTTTATAAGATAAAAGAATGTAAAAATAATGAACTTTCGAACTTCTTGGCAATACTTTTTATTTTCTTTTTCCAAATCAAAGAAAAAGTTTTTAAAATAACTATGTGTGTTACCTAGTCAAAGGATAAAACTAATGCTGTTCAAGAATTATAATTCTGGGCAATGACTTGACATGTATCGACGTTCATGTTGTTTATTGGTTTTCTTTCTTAATGAAGATTGAAAAAGGAAGGGCATAAACATAAATGTCAACACGTTAAAGTCGAATTCTAGAATTATAAATCTTGGACAATATTGCCTTAAAGGATTCACTTTCTCTTTCCAGAAATAAAGTTCGAAAATTAGGCCAAAGGGCGAGATCGGCCGTTAGCAGAGTAAATTTAATCAATCTCACGCGGATCTTCGCACGTCACGACGTCGTTTGCCAGGCTCGTTTCGGATAATGATCAAGCACAGTCATGTCCTTACGTTTCCCCGTTCATCCTACAAAACGTATTCAGGAAGAAACAATTTCATTGGATCTGCTCTTTCTTTTTTTCTCCGTTTCTCTCTTCTCTCGGAACGGTGATTGCTCCCGTAATGATACAAGCTCTTCGTGGAAATAGGAGAATTTTATCATAGCGATAAGGAAAAAAGAAGAAAGCGTAAAGGCGGGAAAGACTGTACGTAAGACAAAGAAAGAATCGAGATAAAATTGCATTATCCCTCCTATTCTTCTTCCTCTCGTTCTCTCTTCTACACGTCACGATCACTCAAGAGATATTTCGGCTATGTCTGCTGACGTCAGATACGGAAAAGCGTATATAATGCAAACGCATGCTGCGTAATTGAGATACTTGAGATGGGAACGATACAAGGGGAGACAGATGAGCTGTAACTATATGTGTATGTATGTATGTATATATATATATATATATATAAGATATATATAAGATTATTTCCTGAGAAGATCGAAATGGGGAAGAGGGATTATATACCGGCGGCCGTGTTCAACCGTGGAATTCAATTTGACGTTTTCAGAGACGTTGCTTAAATCTTAATTAGACCATTACGTCATTCCTCGATCGAAGAAGTAGGTACGTGAGCTTCCCGAAACTCACTTGATTCGTTGGATTAAACAGAAAACATACATGAACTTTACTAGGAGAAGATATAAATAATATCAAATAATTTTTTCTTAAAAAAATGAAAAAGAAGACATTCAAAAAAATTTTCTACACGAATCGATACTTAATCTTTCGTCAATGGGATTTTGAAAACACAGCCGTTTTTTTTTATTGTGAATTCTGATAAATAAATTTAAATCTGTATAGAAAAATAAAATACAATCCAACACTTCTACAATAGTAAAAACTCGTAAAAGCTTCCACAAATATACAAGAATTTTTTTAGATTTTTATATAGTCTGGAATAATGCAACATGATAAAAAAGTTTAGCACAACAAAGTGTCTATTAAATCATTAACATATTTACAAAAATTAGTATTACATATTTACAAAAATATAAATTTTGAAATGTTAATTATATCTTATTAAATAATAATTAACACACAAAATGTCCACTTTTAGCTTTGATACAAGCTTTAAAATATTTCAAGAATGCAATGATGGCTGCGCATCTTTTTATAGATAAATTTTATTAAACTAATAGAGTTTCAGTTTATCAATAAAAATCTTTTAGTGCAGAGTCTTTTTTTTATATCTATTAGTAATTAATAAGATGTAATTAATATTTCATAATTTACTTGTTTTAAATATACTATCTAGGTAACCAGCTGACATTATTTGTCATAGTTTTGACGTCAAAATGACGTCAAGTATAATCGTCAGTTATTCAGACAGAATACAGAATCATAATTGAATCATAATATTACTTGCATTTTTTTTGCATTCAGCATCTTCGCTTTCTCTCTCTTCAACGCCCAAATATTTATTTCGTTTTAAGTGCAAAAGTTTTGAGGGTTTCAAGCAACCTAAATAAACTCAATGATATCATTATAGGACGTCATTTGACATTTAAAAAAATGAGCTTAATTAAAAAATGAACTTAAACTAAGTGACAAATAAAGTCATGATAATGTTCTTATGGTATTTAATATGACTTGTGTTCTATTTGAGTATCTGAGTAATGATTTGATCACACAATAATTGATCACATAACGATTTGAAACGCACAAAATTTTATGACTTTTTTGTGTATTGAGTTCAAAGGGTTGTTAAAGGTGCGAAATTTTATATTGGCAACAGAGAATTAAGAACATAGATGTTGTGTATCTGGATGTTTCAAAATTGTTAGATAATAATCGTTTTCAAAAACATCCTAAGTGATAAACGAATACAAAAAGAAACGTTTTGGCGAGTTTAATTAGAACATATGTTTATTTATATTCATAAATATATAACGTTAAACATTTCTGTAAAATTTCGCCCGAAGCGATAAGAGACACGACGGCAGAATTTTTAAGAATATTCGACTGCACATATGAGTGAACTACGACAAGATTGATCGTGTTCATCGATCCTGCAGAATCTTGAGTATTCAGTGTAAACTGTCGCGTAAAAATGTCGACGAAGTTCTTATCGCGCGTATTAACGGCGGTGGATGCATTTCACGGAACGGCAAAAGACAAAGTAATTTCATTTAGCAGACTCGCTCGTGATTAAAAATAGCGTCGCGATGTCTTCGTGCACGCGTTCAGTATGATTCTCTGTTTCTGTTTCTCTCGCTTTTTCTCTTTCTCGAGCGAACCGGCGCACCCATTCGTGTGCCATTTGTACACAGGGTGCCCCAGAAATCCCGTTCATAATTTTAATGACGCGACCTGTACGCGCAAAAGAGCAACATTCTCCATGTTCGTGTTCAGTATCTTGCAAATCGTGACGATAAATTGATAATATTCCATATTTTCTTGTTGCACGTAATTGTTGCATGTAATTGAGAAATGTCTCGAAGGCATAAGAACCTCCAGAAGTTCCAAATCCAAAGTTCTAAATACAAAATATTACATTAATATTTATGTAGAAATTTATCCAATATTAAAAATTGTATTAAATATTAATTATATTAAAAGTTATATTACAAATATAATATTAACTTTTTATAAAAGTTATATTAAAAATATTATATTAAATTTTTATATGTAATTATATTAAAAATTATATTAAATTTATTAATTATTGTGTTTTCTTCAAATCTAGTCTCTCTCTCTCTCTCTCTCTCTCTCTCTCTCTCTCTCTCTCTCTCTACCGGATTTTACTTCGAAAGATACAAACGAATGGAATTTAAACGAAATTTCATGGACGCAAAAAAATATACACATATATTTATATATAATGTCATTTAATTATATTAAACTCTGTTTGCACCTGCGGCATGCTATGAAAACAAGAAGAAACTAGTGGGTTCCGATAATTATAATATATGTCACTTCGTATTACTAGATAAGATCGTAACATGACGATAGCAAAATCGTGCAAAAATTAAATAAGAAGTATATTGAATATTTCTATCAAATGTTACATTAAAAATATATTAAATATTAATTATTATTGTTTTCTTGAATTCGAGTTCAGAATCTTATACAGAGAGACGAACGAATGAAATTTGAACAGAATTTCACGCAAAAAATATATATATCTACGAACGTCATCCAATTGATAAATAAACTCTGTTTACACCTGTGGCGCGCTATGAAAGCATAAAGAAGCTAGTGAGCTGCGATAATAAGTACACGTCACTCAGTTCTAATAGATAAGATTGTAACACGATAATAATGTAATCGCATAATACGATTTTAATTAAATTATGAAATAATCGCGATAAGAACCTATCATTTTATTACGGGAAGATCTTAATAATTTTTTTAAGATCATTTATATCAATTTATCATGGTAACATTATCATTATCCGTTATCGGACATCACTCAATAACCCGAATTTGTCAATCACCAAATTATTCTTCGATGCCCGAAATAACGACACTGGACGTTCAGCTTTCGTGTTTATTAGAGCTATATATAAAATATCAGAAGGCGATATCGATTTGATACTGCGGGTCGAGTTTTTAAACTTGCGTTGCACTTGAAGCGTTTCCGAAACTTATCTTGTCTTATCTTGAGTAAAAATCTCTTTACATAATTCAATTTAATTTCAGTTGAACGCAATTAGAATTTAATCTAATGGTTCGTAGACGAAACTAACTTTCCCAATTTGTATATTTAACAGTTAGCCTTCGTTCCGGAATGAAAATGAATAATAAATACCGAAATAAGTTTCATATTTCGGTCCGAAAGCCCGATTCGGATACACTTATTTGTATATTTATCCGTATACTTGTACTCTTATATGCGCGTATATTTAGATGTCGTTTTGACATTTCATAGAGCAGCAATTTGCCGCTAGTGCTGCAAGTGCTTTATAATCTTTATTCTTACGTCATGTCGATGAATCGTCATCGGCATTCACTTCCTGTAACTAATTGCGGCTGTATAAAACTCCAGGAATACATTCGTTGTCTCGCTTTATAATTACGTTAACAAAACATTTATACCAATTTGTGGCCCGCGGTGTATCGCATCTTTCACGTGCCGACACCCCGAAATGTCGATTATATATTCATAAAGATTCGAAAGTGTGTTTGTGGGTTACCCGGTAGAGCGAGAATCGTGTCGACGGTGTGTGATTAATATTAATTAATTACCCGCCGCTGCGGCTATTTATCAGGAAACATCCGCGATATGAAACGAAGCGCGTAATTCTCAACGGTTTTACGCACGCGGCCAATAATTTATTTACCGAGACTAATGCTTTCGCGAGATTGAACTCACGGATCCAGGCCGCGCGTTGTCATAATGATTGACAATTAAAGTTCCGACGTAAACGCTGCTGACGTCGCTCTCGCGAATCTCCTCTATAGCGATCTATTTCCATCGACGATCAAGAATCATTCTTCCCCATCGTGTACACTCAATTGTGCGTTGATCCAATTTGCATCGTATTATTATGTTACGACCTCAATTGCGTTAATTAAAACGTAATGGAGTAGTAAGAGCACAAATTGTAGTCTACAAGGTATCTGAATTCACCGACGAGCATGAAATATAATTACGTTATATATTATTATATTATTAATTAAAAAAAAAATTAAATAAAGTAAGAAGGGAATTAGATAAAACGAGATGTTCGTATAAATTTAAAATTATATTACTTAGACATATTAATTAACATAATTAGAATTAAAATTGACAATTTTTCGTTTCGACCCCAATATTGGACCATCCTAGTATATCGCAAAAACTCATATTAATTTGTTTGTAAGATGTGCTTGAAAATACGCTTGAAAATACACTGATATTATATGATCATTGAATAGCGTAAAAAATTTATTTATTATTACGAAATGTATATAAAACACGTGGGTTATATATACATTATATCGAAAAAAAAAGAGCGTCTTGTTCTTAGAAAGGGGTGTAGTCGTTACGATAGAACGCCAGTCATCGATCTACACTACTGATCTATGCGCGTTGACCTACACTACTGCAGCTTCGAAATTAGGTCAGGACATTTCCAATTTGCATACAGATGTGAGATACAGTATCATGGATCGGAGGAAAAATGTCCATTAATAATAGTTAATGCTTTGAGCAAAGTAGAAAGGCAGCTTACTCGTATCCGAAACTCGAGCGATGTGTTATATAAAATAAATAAGAGATCGCGCAAATGCGTACCAATAATAATTAAACGAGAATGAAGAAGCGATGCTTAAGCATTATTTTTTAATTCGTTA